TAGGAAAATGCTTGAAAAGAATTCCATAAAAATTCTTGACGTTTATAATAGCTGTCAAAAACAAACTAAAAATTCAAATTACCAACTTAAAAAAAAAAATTTTTAGTATTTCTGGTTTAATTTAATTTTAATTTTACTCTCAACACTCTCATCTCGCTTATAAGTGCCATCCTTTTGGTTTCAGCCTTGTCAGCTCGAGTTTCCACCGTGTATGTCAACACAACATATGCCTTGTATATCATACATATATCACATGCCATATATTAATATAGATACCTTGGACTCACAATCAGAGAATAGTTTTACTGATAATTATTTGTATATACTTGCTAAAAACGGATTCCTTCAATACATTTCTAAACCCACTAGGATTTCTTTAGTGGTTCTGAGTCATATTTAGATCACTATTCCATTCGAACTAAAGTTCTGTCCATAAGATTGTCATTGATTTTATCTTTTGGAATAACTGACCACATTCCTTGCATTTTCAACATTTTTTTGTTACGGAACTTAATTATAAATTCAGATAATTTCAGATTATATCAATTTATTAAAAAGCTTATTAATCTGTTCAAATTAACGGATATTATCTCTGCTCCATTATCAATTTTAATAAATGAGTACTTAGCTCAGGGATGCTTTCCACATGTTCTAAAAAATCCTTTGTTGTTCCTATACATAAAATAGACTGTAAAAGATCAGCTAAGAACACTTTTTAAATTCTTAATCTTGTGTTGAGGTTTATGTTGGAAGTACGTATTGTAGATTCTCAACTCATTGTAAGTACAAAAGCCGATGAGCATTACTACCGTTCGTTTATATTTTCCTCATTAAACGCGTTCTTGATTCCTGGAATTATTTCCTTTCGCACCGTTTATCTCATAAAAGAATCATTTGGTCCTACTTGGGTATCCTGTCAATTATAGCTACTCGTAGAAATCTAAGGCTTCCTGAACTGACCTTCCATCATCATGTGCATAGACTGAGATTATATACATGGATGTTTTTCCAGTTCAATTCTGCTCCATTCATTTTCCTTTCTTTTTTTTCTCTCGGAGTTTGTCCAAATATCGATATTTTTTGTTGCAACTCATGCTACAGACGTTCTTTTATTATCATCTTAAATAAATAAATTAATTAAATAAACAATCCGTTTTTTTTTCTACAACGATGCGATAAGGTGCAATGTTTATTTTACGATTTTATCTTTAAATCAATAAATCAAAATATTCCTTTAGGTGTTTACGTTTGGGATGTTGATGGTAAAAAGTACATCGATTTTTTAAGCGGTTATTCCGCGAATAATTTCGGACATTGCCACCCAAAAATCGTTGAAACCTTAAAAGAACAAGCCGGAATTCTTCATCACACCTCAAGGGCTTTTTATTGCGATATTTTCGGTGAATACGCTGAGTATTTAACTAAATACTTTGGATACGATAAAGTTATTCCTATGAATACAGGTAAATTTTAAAATTAATTAATTAATACTTTCTAATTTAATTCGTCTTGATTTAGGTGTTGAAGCTGATGATACAGCGTGTAAATTATCTAGAAAATGGGGTTATAGAAAGAAGATGATTCCCAAAAATAAAGCAAAAATCATTTTTTGTAGTGATAACTTTTGGGGGCGCTCACTAGCTGCTGTTTCAGCTTCAACGGATCCATTAAGTTTCGAAGATTATGGTCCATTTATGCCGGGATTTTCTTGTATTCCTTATAACGATCTCCAATCTTTAGAACAAGCGATTTCCGATCCAACAGTTTGTGCTTTTATGGTTGAACCGATTCAAGGAGAAGCAGGAATTGTAATTCCCGATGAAGGTTATTTAAAAGGGGTTAGAGATCTTTGCTCGAAATACAACGTTTTATGGATAGCCGATGAGATTCAAACGGGAATGGGAAGAACAGGAAAACTTTTAGCGGTCGATCACGAAAATGTCAAACCGGATATTTTAGTGCTCGGAAAAGCTTTAGGAGGGGGAGTATATCCAGTTTCCGCTTGTTTAGCTAACGACGATGTCATGTCCGTTATTGAACCGGGCACTCACGGTTCAACGTTTGGTGGAAATCCTTTAGGTTCAAAAGTTGCAATTGCTGCTTTGGAAGTTCTTAAAGAAGAGGAGTTGGCCGAAAACGCCGAAAGAATGGGGAGGATTTTTAGGGATGGACTTAAAAGTCTAGTTAAAGATAAAGTTATCAGTATGGTCCGAGGAAAAGGATTATTAAACGCCGTTGTTGTTAATAGAAGTAAGTTTAAGAAAATTGTTTCGATTTAATAACAAATTAAATTTATTTTTAGATTATGCAACCGCATGGGATATTTTATTAAAACTAAAAGACTCGGGAATTATCGCTAAACATACCCACGAGGATATTATTCGATTTTCACCACCTCTAGTCATCAATGAAAATGAAATCTGTCAATCGGTAGATATCATTGGAAGAACTATTAAATCTTTCATGAAATAAAAAATACAAAGCATTTAAAATTTATAAATTAAGTTGTTAATGTCGTATTATATCTAATAAGATCGTTATTAATTAATTAAATATTTTTTAATGTGTCAAAAAAATTCTAGTTTAAATATAAGCACCTAATTTTACGGGAATAGTTTATTGCAAATCTGCCCCACAGTTTTGACTCTTCAACTTGTAAGATACCTTGAATTATTGACAGTAAAATTCCCACTTATCTGATAAATCACTTTTAGGTTATGTGTAACTCACCCTCTTAGGAAAGGACAATGGACAGGAATCCGGAAAGCTTCGGTTCGGAGAATTATTCTTCAATCGGACTTCTTTGGATCTGGGGAAATATGCCAGCTTTTTGAATTGGAGAACCAATTTAAGGTTAGGAAACTATTTTTGACATTTATAGGTTAGATTTTTTTATCAAAATCATCCACACCCTTGCTCTTACTAAATTGGACTGCCTTGTTTCAACTTTTTCCTCTTCTTATATACCCTTTTCCCCCTCTCCACAGATTTTTCTTCCTTCTATTTTTAACCCTCGCTTCTGATTGGCTGACGCGTTTCGCGCCATTTCTTCCCTTAAAATAATTTCGAATCTTTCTAAATTCCGAAAACGCCATCTAGCGCATTTCTTTCGAACTACTCAAAATTCCAAAACTTATTTTATTCATATCTTCTTTAATTCTTCACTAATCTGGATAAAACTTCGTATTTGAAGCATATATTTTTCTATTTCAGCCGTCCATTGGAGGTTTCAAGATTCTCCAACCACAAATGAAGTTTGAATTTTACAAATTTAAATCCAATTTTCAAAGTCAAAATCGTTCAAAAATCTTCCGGAACCTAATAAATTAGATGTAATCGACACTGATCTTCCCGTTTTGGATGGTTTAGAAAGGATATTAATAGTTTTAAGAGAATTATGAGCAACTAAAAATGAACTGTCAAATGAATTGAGGTTATGTTTCTCTCTCAGGTGAAATAAATTGTCAAAACCTGTCTCAGAAGCTTTATTATTATACAATAGCCTTATTTATTTAAAAGCAATAATTCCATAACATCTCGGTGATATAACCGGATCAAATAAATGCGTTAAAAACGAATTTTCAACCCCATTTTCTTTTAAATAAAGTAATCGATCCAATAAAATCAAAGATTCAATAGCGGGGGCCATAAACGCTCTTAATAAAGTAAAAAAATACAATTCCTTCTCTCTATTCACAAATAAATTAAAAACCTCCTCGATATCTGCATCGTTTAAAAAGCTATGATCTAATTCTAATCGTTTAAATGACTCTTTAACGTAATCCCCAAACGAATTAAAATCACGTTTTGATCTGCCAACATTCCTATCGGTTAAATCGGGGAAAAATCGATCAAAAATCACTTCTAAAATAGCTCGGTAAAAAATTGTATTGCTTGGGGGTAATTTTTTTGATAAGATTCGATCGATTGATTGTGCAGATAACATTCTAGCTGGTCTTCCTAGTTTAAAATCGACGGATTTTAGATAATCACTCATCGGGAAACCGATTAATTTAGAATCGGACTCAAATTGTTCTTCTAGAAAATGATAGCAACAACTTACATTACAAATTGTTTTAACATTTAAATTTTTAACAAATATGTTTAAAGAAGAAACAGCTAAATGCCCACAAGTATGCAAACCGATTAATGAAATTCCTTCGGGTTTAGCATCAAAAACAGTTTCGATTAATTCATTTAAATTTGTATTTTCATCCACAAATTGAGTAATTTGTTTATAAAGGTCTGAATTTTCATTCGTTTTACGTTCCCTTGGTGTTAAAACAGTTCGTTTTTGATTTTTTACGATTCCATCCCAATTTTTACTTAATTTTTCAGCTCGTTTTTTGGCCCCGTTTGTGTTTGTCTCCGACGAATCAATTCCTAAAATTGGAGTTTTGTAATGAAACGCTAATAATGAGCTTAAATAACCTTTTCCATCACCTAAATCGATGATATGGGAAGTATTTCCGATTAATTTTAATTTAAAAGCGACTGAACTCAAAATTGTGACTTCATGTGATTTTTTATTTTTCATAAATACATCGAGTTTTAAATCGTTTTGAGGTGTTTTATCAAATTTATTATGAAAATCGTTTATGTTGATACAAATATTGCCGTTGTATAAAAGGAATTGTTTGCAATTTTGGGTGAATTTAAATAAATTTGGGGCTAAATCATGGTTTGTTATGGCATCGTAAAAATCGAATTCGTTTTGATTAAATTCTAATTTTAATTCGTTTGGGGTGCAATTTTCATAAAGGTTTTTATTGAAATAATTAACCATATGACAACTAATTAGAGGATAATATTCTTTTAAATAAACTAAAATCTTATCAATTTGAACCTTAATTTCTTGCATTTTTTTCTAAAATGATAAATTATCTAACTCGGGATAAAATGCGTCCACTTTTAACAAAGCGCATGTTTTTTTAAACAAACTTCTAATATTATCTAATTCACTCAGGATATCAATGTCTTTGTTATTACAGTTTGGGAATTTATTTACTTCATCCACAAGTTTTTTGAGTGATTTTAACACCTTCTCTGATAACTTTTCGGACGATTTTAGATAACCTTCGGCAACAGATAAATAATAACCAAGCTCTGCACCAACCTCAGCGCCTCGATGATATCCTAAATGATAACCTTCAACATTCTCTTCGTTTCTACCTTTTTCTAATCCTTCCGAATAACCCTCTTCAATCAATTTTTCTTCACTAAACACTATGTTATCGAATACTTCGTTTATATCAGCATCATTTTCATTTATATCTAGTTATTAAAGTTAAAAATTAGATTTAATTACAATTATAATAAATAAACTAACCTGTCATTTTAATTTATAGGTTAAGTAACGTCTGAAATTGAGGTTGCCTATCTTAAAATGTTTAAATAACATTTTGTTGTAAAATAAGATAAATGTCTATAAACAAAGTATATTTATGCCTCTTAAAAAGTACATGTTACTACTTACATTTATAAATTGTATCGTAACTAATATTTGCTTAATAAACTTATTTAACAAAGAGTTAACATTGTCGTCGTTTCTACCTTTCCGAATACTTCGTTTATATCAGCTTCATTTTCATTTATATCTAGTTATTAAAGTTAAAAATTAGAATTAATTACAATTTCAATAAATAAACTAACCTGTTATTTTAATTTATAGGTTATGTAACGTCTGAAATTGGGGTTGCCTATATTAAAATGTTTAAATAACATTTTGTTGTAAAATAAGAATAAATTTCTATAAACAAAGTATATTTATGCTTCTTAAAAAGTACATGTTACTATTTACATTTATAAATCGTATCGTAACTAATATTTGCTTTTTATAACAAACAAAATTAATTAATAAAGAGTTAAGTAATAAATAACACAATGTTAATAATAAGAAATATCCTAAAATCATATATACAACATATCACAACAAAAAATTAAATAAATAAAATTAAAGGTTATGTTGCTAAATTGACGGATCGAAATTGACACTTTTTGGTTGCTAATTTCACTTTGTACTTTAAGGGATGCGCAAAAAATGTCATTTTCAATTAATTCGATTTTAAATCGACGAAAAATATTTAAAACGAGATGAAATAATAAGAAAATTGGAAAAAAATTATTGTTTTTGATAAAAAAGGTTAAGTAAAGTAATCTCGCAGTACAAAAAGAAATGTCAAAATAAAACGTCATTTATAATTCATTTTTGGTTTAAAAATGACGAAAACTATTGAAAATTGAATGAATTTATAGCGAAAATCATTATGTTGATAAGAAAATTAGATAATGGCGTTAAGCCACATAGAAAAATAAGAATTTTCGATACAAAAACTCCGAGGTGAGAAATAAACATAACCTCACTTTTACGTTGAATAAATAAATCGTTATGCCGTTTTTTTGAATGCTAATTTGACCTCACAGTACAAAAAGAAATGTCAAAATAAAACGGGGTTAAAACGTCATTTATAATTTATTTTTGGTTTAAAAATCGACGAAAAATGTTGAAATTTGAATGAAATTATAAAGAAAATCATTCTGTTGATGGGAAATTCTAAAAATGAAAAAAAAATAAGAATTTTTGGTAAAAAAAAACTCCGAGGTAAGAAATAAACACAACCTCACTTTAAATTGACATTTAATGATTTGAAATGAATCTAATTTTTGATTTATTTTAGGGAAAAAACGTATTTAATGGAACTAATTATATTGATAATGNACGAGAAATGTTGAAATTTGAATGAAATTATAAAGAAAATCATTCTGTTGATGGGAAATTCTAAAAATGAAAAAAAAATAAGAATTTTTGGTAAAAAAAAACTCCGAGGTAAGAAATAAACACAACCTCACTTTAAATTGACATTTAATGATTTAATCTAATTTTAGATTTATTTTAGGGAAAAAACGTATTTAATGGAACTAATTATATTTTAATGTATTAATTTATTAAAAAAATAATAACCGGTAATTTCGCTTCAAGGTCGCAAATAAGAAAGTAAAATATTAATTTCTTTATAATCACAAATTTAAATATCCCGCTTCAAATCTTGAATTCCAATAATTTAATTCCACATTCCCCCGCAGGGTGACCTTTAACTGACACTATTTGAAAGTAATTTACGCGTAGACTTATTTTTTTTTTTTATTAAAACCAACAACTTAACACATTCTTTGAACCAAACACATTCAAAACCCGTTTTAAAATAAAACCCTACGAAATAATAACCCGTTTTTACTCCTAAACACACACATACACACACCNTATCGTCATTTTATCGTTGTGGAGGTGTGATTTCCAATAAAAATTAAGCACAAAGAATGTGGGTGTGTAAACAAGTGTAACAATAACGCGTAATTTATAATGTTAAGGACATTTTTTTATTTAATCCTTTTCTAATTTAAGTAACGTTCATGAACTTGAATTTAAATTCTCAACACAATCAATGTGAATCAGGTCAAGTATCAGCTGGTTGTGCTCCAGATATTTCCCAACCCAATCAATAATTAATTTTTTTTATGTGGATAACAAATTTCTTCAATAAATGTTGTTCTACATAAAATTTTTTATTTTAAATTATTTTAATGTTGTAATTGTGATACCGATTATGACATATTTATCAAAAATAAGAAACCGACGTGATTAGTACATGATGTCCGCATGATTAGAATGTGATGATTAGAGTTAAAAAGATTCGAAATAACGCTGACCTCTGAAGCGAATAGAAATTTTATGATTTCAATGAAGATTTATTTTCATTTTTGATTATTTCTATTTTGTAACTAGATTTATGTTGGCTGTACCTATTAGTATTGTTATCCGGGGATTATTTACCTTAGTAAATTTAACTGAAATAACGTTAATCCGTAATCTTACTCAATATTCCTGATAGGTCATTCAACCCTGGTAAAATATAACTTTACTTAAACCTTCTATTTTCTTTTTGTTTATGGAATAAACAAGAAAGAGGAAAGAGCCAAGATAGTAAGTAATCAATAATTGGACCGCGTTATACATTACTTGACTAAGCGTTTTGAGATTTTCATGCTGTCTGGTGGGTAAAGGTGTAACTTATCTTAGAAAAAATGCAGAATATCGAAAGACTTAAAATACTATTTGTTTTAAAGGATAAAGCTAAGCGCCAATCACGTTATACGATTTCAAGTCCGATTTGCATCATACGTCTAAGAACCGACTTAGATACACCAAGAAATTCTACAATAGAAAAAATTGATGAACCTACAATTTCGGACATTTTATTTTATATAGAATTACAAATAGATTAACATCTCTCATATACAAACGACAGCAGTAGATAGCGCTAGTTACCATAAGATATCACTATGTTGCATATTTCTATTGCACTAAAACTAGAACTAACACTAGACCTAGAACTAGAAATATTCGGGTTTAGCCGTGCGTCTGAAGACGGTTTAGTCGTGAAAAATACTTTCAGTTGTCAATGTCAATTTTAATTTTATTATTATATTCGTAATCTTCATAAAATAACCTTTAAAGTGAGTCCAAACTTGACGCATTTATCTCAAAAAACCAAAAAGTTCGAATTTTTAATTTTGACATATTTGTCAACTTCATAAAAAATCCTTTAAAATGAGTCCAAACTCGACATATTTAACTTTGATATTAATGGAGATACAATCACTTCCGGTTTGAAACGTCAACGTCAATTTTGACATATTTTTCATCTTCATTAAAAAACCTTTAAAATGAGTCCAAAGATTCTCACACTTATCTCAAAAAGCAAAAAAGTTAGAATAAAAAGCATTAAACCCTAAATTAGCAACAATGAAGATAGCAATTTAATTTTTAAATATTAATACCAACCTTAATTTTTTTTATTTAATTTTTGTTTTTAAAAAATTAAGAATATGTCAAAATGACATTGACATTTCAAACCGGAAGTTGCTTATATCTCGAGTAATATTGGAATTAAACGTATCATGTTTGGACTCATTTTAAAGGATTTTTCACGGCGATTACAAATATGTCAAAATTGAGGTTGACATTCTTAACCGGAAGTTGACCATAACTTCATTAATATTGAAGATAAATATGTCGTGTTTGTACTCATTTTAAAGGATTTTTAATGAAGATTACAAATATGTCAAAATTGAGGTTGACCTTTTAAACTTGTAACACTTTAAGTAAAGCTAAGGTTTGTTCCAGCTTCATCGTTCGATTCTCGGCCATATTTCTAAGGCCGTATTAAGGCTTAAACGATGCTTTATTTCGAAATTCTAAGTTCGGTGCTACACATTAAGTATTGATTATATAGTAAGTAATAAGTAAAGATTACCGTCAAAACAACTACAGACTTATTACTTCAGGGATATACCAAAATCTAGGCAGCAACATTAAATGGGTATTCTTTTTAAAGCGATCTCTTTATTACACAGCTTTTCAAAGTGAATTTACAAGAATCGAATTAATCAAGAGTTATATGGTTTGAGTTATATGGTTTTTTGAAGAGCTAAAGATTGTTAAAATATATTCCTATAAATACCTTCATTACCCAACTCACGTGGAAAATTTATAACTTGAATTTAAAGGATATCAGGAGATAAAAACGTTTTTTGATTAAATCGGAAAAATTTAAATAGGAAATAAATTCCTAAACACGTGTAGCACTGAACTTAGAATTTTGAAATAAAGCATCGGCCTTTATTTACTTAACATTGTAACACTTTGTCCTTAATTTCATTTTACAACTTTTTAAACTTTAATTTTGTAAATTAGTAACTAATAATCTGATTTCGACTTTGATATGTGATCTTTTTTAACAAAACAAAAAGAAATATTAGGAAACTTTTTTGTAAAATGGATAAGATGAGAGATGTTAATCTATTTGTAGAGTCTCTGAAGATGGCGAAGGGCCGAAATTGGTTACTACTATGGTCTATTCTGAGAAGTCTTCTATTTTTAGACAGATGAAAACGAAAATCCCGTTTTTCTCAATATCAAGTGATTCATAACGCGATCCAATTGGTCAAATAAAATTGTTCTATGTAGTATTTCAAGGTTGTTAACTTGAAATAATTTGACGTTTGTGTAGTTATAGATAATTTGGTACAAAATCAATAAGAAATCATTTAAAAGTATAATGAGAGGTATTAATTTGATATATTTGAAAAATTTTGAGGTTATGTTTATGACACACGTCAATTCGCGTCTATATTGAATAACTTGATGTTAGCAACAAAGCATTTAACCAACTTCAGAGTATTTCCAAATAGAATTTATTTATTATAATTCATTTCATTTTGAGTTTTTATATCATTGTTGTATATGAAGCAATTATTATAATAAACCACAAATTTCGTATCTTCACATTAACTTGTTAATCTACAAAGATTTAGAAGAAATCGAAATTTGACGTTTTCTTCTGTCAAATCGGCAAGATAACCTAAAATTTTAATTTGTCACTTCAAATTAATTTTTTTATTAAAAATTGATATAATTATTAAAAAAATACGTTTTAAACAGTCTCAAATGATATTGAATCACGCTATTTTTTGTAAGTTTATAAAAGATAACAACAGGATGTGGGAAAAAAATAGATACAAAAAAAACCATTAAAAAGTGTACAAAAATTATTAAAAAAACATTCCGTGTTGTGTAACAACGCGACAGAAACCTCGTTTTATGTGACGATTAGAAATAAAAGTTCTAGATTACGTAATTGTTGTTATATACGCGTTTTAGAAAACGTGCCCCGATTTTAAAACAATTTTTGAGTTGCTGTATATAACTTGATGAATCCTTTGTGAGTTTATCGGGTTGTATTTCAATTAAATCATCTTGGAAATTCCCAGTTGAACGTTTCAAATTTAAAATTAAAATTTCTCAATATTCATCATAATTTTTTTTAATGATTTAATTGAAATCAATTAGAAAGAATAAATGCTCGTTTTAAAGCGGAATTATTTTAAAAATAATTTTTTTGTGGGAAAATTTTGGATATAATTTGAAATAAATTAAAATAAATTTAAACAAAATGTTGTATAGCGATGGAATATTAACAAATTGTACCAGGAGAACAGAATCATTGAGGAGATAGTAATTTGTGCAACGCGAACGGATGCGGGACTTTCGTTGTGATACCGTTCGTTTTGTTGCAAACTCAAAAAAAAAAATCCCCCCATTGGGTCCTTGGTATAACGGTCCAATAACGGTGCGGAACTCGAGGCGATTTAAACACTTTGAATGAAGAAGTGAGAAGTGAAAGTTTTTTTTTTGGCGCGAAAAAATTTTTAATATAAAACATTAAATTCTTACTTGATTTTTTGTACCACAGTCGCTGTCTCTTCCGGTGGTTGTAACCGTAATATCACGACTCCCCAATTTTTTAGCGACTTTTCCTCCATAATTACGGCTTATCAATTGACAGAAACTACCGATGGATTTATAACCGACGTTGCACCGCATCACAAAATTTCAAATTTAGACGAACCTCTCGAAATTAATCGAATCGAAAATTACACGAAAACCGAAAAGATATTTTTCATCACGGCAGATTTTTAAATTGACATTTTCAAAGGTTTTTGACAACTGATTAAAATAAAAAAAAATAAGAATGAATTTTTAATTTATTGAAGTACATACGTATAAATAAATTAAAAGAGGTGTATTTAGAGGGGATTAAAGGGTAAGAATAAAATGTAAGAGATTATTAATTCATTTTATTTATTTAAATAAATTATTTCATTGACATTTAATTTGACGTTTAAATGTCAATTTTATTCTATGCACTCACAGACGACTTAGACATAGGCACCAAGGACAGATTTTTCGATATGCTTTTTGAGGAAATAAATAAAACAAGAAATGGACGAGAAATAATAAATAAAGATCTAAACGTTAAGTTCCAAAATAGTCAGGTGATAGGACGATACGGAGAGAATGAAGTAAACGATAATGGAACCAAATGGATAGAATTCAAATACTAAATCGATACTTTGACCACAAGGATATACCACATAAGTATACCTGCATGAAAAGAACCAAAGATTTAAAATCTATAATAGATCTTATGGCTATTATACAGGGTGTCTCACGTAACTGGTCCATCAAAACTTTTTTAGGTTCCAGTACAGTTTTGAAATTTTGATAGTATGAGTTGTTCAGTCGGAACTTTCGATCTAAAATATTTTCAAGATGGCTGCAACTTCCGGTCTACCGGAAGTAGACTATAACTTCGTTATTTTAAATGGAATGCTATAGTTTTTATTGCACCTTTTAATTGTACGTAAAAAAATATGTTGACTTTCATAAAAGTTATTGGTACCTAGCGTTTTTCGTTTTCGAATTATTTAGATTTTAAGGTTTCTTTGGCAAATTTCACCATGCTCCACGTTCATTCAAAAAAGCTCTAAGTTGGCACGATTACTCTTCAGATGCTCTCAAATAGATTGTCATATATTGTATCAGAATATCTTATACAGGTGGTCAAAAATTGAATTACCGTTTCTCCATATTCAATGGGGAGAAAGTCGAAAATTTTAAATGGAACGCCCCATATTTTATTAGCCTACACGAAAGGGAATTTAATTCTCTACAATTTATCTATAAACATACCTATACCAATTTATTGTAGTTTCTCTCATATTCGTAAATTTATCAAAACATGCAGGAAATGCAGGAACGATTTGTATTTTTATTAGCAGGCCATGACACTTTTTGTTTAACAACAGTTTTTTGTTTAATTTATTTACGATTGATAATCTTTTAGTTTACTAGCTTTTACTTACCAAAAATAACAAACAGAAGATCAAATAAATAAAACATATAATAATAATATATAATAGAATATTTTAAGAGAAATAGAATATTTACTTTAACAAATATTTGCAATTTGGAAAGCGTTTTTGTGTTAGACGGTTACTATGCATAAACTCCTGCAAAAACAGGACGACGTTCAGAAAAGTTTTGCTTCACCTTAACCATCTGAAATCTGTCAGATAAACGCTCACTAAATTAGGTTTCCAAGATATCGTGAAACTCTCTATAATTTGCTGCTGGAGGTCTGTGCACGGTACCGATATGAAAAACCTCCGAACCCACCTTAAATTCAATCCACAATTGTTCAATTCCATTGCCATTTGAAGTAACCTCATACTTAAATGCATCTTTTATAAACATTCCTACACCACCACCCCTCCCCACTCTATCAAAGCACTCAAAGTGGAAACCATCCATTATTATATTATCACTTAACTCCGTCATTCAGGTTTCACTAATTGAAAGAATATACAATTTATTACTATTTATCAACTGCGCCAAGTCATCAATAGGTTTAGAATGAAGAGATTGCACATTTAGGTGACTACTCTCTAGATATTATACTCGTAATCTTGACAAAATAACCTTTAAAGTGAGTCCAAACTTGACGCATTTATCTCATAAAACCAAAAAGTTCGAACTTTCAATTTTTAATTTTGACATATTAGTCAAGTTTATAAAAAATCCTTTAAAATGAGTCCAAACTCGACATATTTAACTTTGATATTAATGGAGATACAATCACTTCCGGTTTGAAACGTCAACGTCAATTTTGACATATTTGTCATCTTCATTAAAAAACCTTTAAAATGAGTCCAAACAAGACTTATCTCAAAAAACAAAAAAGTTAGAATAAAAAACATTAAACCCGAAGTTAGCAACAATGAAGATAGCAATTTAATTTTTAAATATTAATACCAACCTTAATTTTTTAATTTTTTTTTATTATATTTTTGTTTTTGTCACAAATATTAAGACATTTTATAAAAATTAAGAATATGTCAAAATGATATTGACATTTCAAACCGGAAGTTGCTTATATCTCGAGTAATATTGGAATTAAACGTATCATGTTTGGACTCATTTTAAAGGATTTTTTCACGCCGATTACAAATATGTCAAAATTGACGTTGACATTCTTAACCGGAAGTTGACTAAAACTTCATTAATATTAAAGATAAATATGTCGTGTTTGTATTCGTTTTAAAGGATTTTTAATAAAAATTACAAATGTGTCAAAATTGAGGTTGACATTTTAAACCTGAAGTTAGTTATCATATAATAGAAGTTTTATAGCTGCAGTTAATCTACTGTTAGTCACTTTTCCGCAGTTTTCTTTTTATTTTTAACGAAAAACGAGCTTACTACCCTAACAAAAAGTTAATCAGGTCTAGAATCATCTTCAAAACAACCAAAATCTAACCATCGGGGATTTTAACCTGGAAAGAGTGTATAAAGCAGCAATAAAAAAGCTATAAATAAATCTAAATTAACGAAATATTAATTGTTTATTTTTTTAATATCAAGTTGGTAATTAATTTGACGTTTATTTTACATAACCTCAAACTTAGTTTTATTACAAAAGTTGCTACATTTGCAAATAATTAATAATAATTAAGTAATAAAACTCTTCATTTCTTTTTATAAATTAATTCTTAATACATATCAGAAATTGCGTCGATTTGTTTAGTTGGTAACAACGGCTTCGTCTTTTGCAGCCGCAACGGCTGCTACTAAAGCGGCGCCTCTTCCACTTCCATCTTCCGATAACATCAAATCAAACTTAAATAAAAAAATAATAAATGTTTAATTGATAAATAATTAATATTTACCTTTCTTCCAGGATCGACTAACTCACTAATTTTATGCATCATAAGTCCATGGAAATACGGATGAAACCTATAAACACTTCCGTCAACACCGATCGTTACATGGGGTTCACCCATTTTATTTAATAAAGCTGCTAATGTAGCGGAAACTAATCCGGCGGCTCTTCGTGAAACAACTTCACAAATGAAGCGGATGTTCATCATATCAGCATCGGTAGCGTGCCCCAAACCAAGTTTTTGAAGAATCGGTTTTTGTTTCGTATAAACACCCTGTAAGTCTCCTTCGATATCCGATACGAATTTAGTTTCAAATTTTTCACGCTCTTCTAATAGGGGTGACGATTTTCCACCGAAAAGTAGACCATCCTTCGTGAATTTTAAAATTATTAATCGAGCCAATTCCCCCATGTACATCCCAGAAATCATTTTTTCAAACCTTAAACAAATTAATTTTAAATATAGTTCAAATTTAATTCTAGAAAGCTAAACTGTTCAAAAGTTATTAAAATTTTTACAATTATTAGTCAAAATATATCATTGAAAACATGTTTAGGTCAAATTTGGAAATTTCTTCTTGAAACCGGTTTCTGACATTTCACAACATTAGTGACGTAACTAATATGAATTATGTAATGATTCTAGTTCTAGATCGAGTGTTAGTTCTAGTGACAGTGTTAAGTAGCGCTAGTAAGCACTAGATAGTGCTAGATTATACCGGGTGTTTCATTTAAAATGACATATTCTTATATCTCGAATAAACAAAAACTCGAATCGAAAAAAGTTTCAAGTAAACATTTTTTGGTGAGAAGGGGGACACATTGTACACGTGAACAGAATTTTTTTCAGGGTTGCCTAAAGGCCCTTCTGACGTCATTTTTATTTTTTCAAATGGCACATATACTTTTCGAACACGTGCAAGATCGGTTACGAATGAACAGAATCAAATTGTTGTTTTAGCAGCTGTAGATGTTAATCGTCACGTAAGTTGGCGTCAATTGTCAAAAGATTCAGGCATTTCGTTAACGAGTGTACACATCGGATTTTGAATGTTAATTAGTTTCACCTGTATCATGTCTTTCTACAGCAGTGGTGTCCACTAATTTTTGATAAATTAGTGGACTTTTTATCGACTTTTTATATAAATGTCTTGCCAAGATCGACCGAAGGGTTTAAAGTAACCTTCTTTTTTTTTTTGCTCTGAGGCCCAGATATAGATATTTCAGATTCATGATTTTCTTGGCGATCGACGTATCGCCAAGAAAAT